GGATGGTCGTGCCCCCACCCCCAGCGTGCCTGGCATCATAACGTCACTTCCTGGTGACGCGCATGCCGGGGTGGGGTTCCCCCCGGGGCCTGATCCACCGGCGGCGGGGAACGGGCCTCTGGGGCGGGGGTTTCCCTGCCCCCCGGGGGGACTTGGCAGCCCTATTTGCACTTGGCCACATTGAACCCCATTTGCCACACTGACGCCCACTCGCCCATCCTTGACAGATCCCTTTGGAGTGCCTCACAATCCTCCCTGGTTCTCACCACCCTGAACAATTTAGCGTCATCCACAAATTTAGCTACTTCACTGCTTACCCCCAACTCCAAATCACCGATGAACAATCATTGATGAACAAGTTAAAAAGCACTGATGAATGCTAAAAAGCATCGGACCCAGTACTGAGCCCTGTAGTACCCCACTGCTTACCACCCTCCACTGTGGAAATTTCCCATTTATACTCACTCTCCGTTTCCTATTTATTTGCCAGTTTTTGATCCACAAGAGGACTTGTCCTTTTATCCTGTGACTATTGAGCTTATTTAGGAGCCTCTGATGAGGAACTTTTATCAAAAGCTTTCAGGAAGTCAAGGTAAACATCTATTGGGTGCCCCTTGTTCAGAGCCAGAGTAATATTGAAATGAGGGCTAAAGAGAATTGGGGTGGGGATGGGATGTTTTAAAAACACAAATCCTAAAATGCCAAATCCACAACGGAAAATCGATGTCTCAAAATTCATTGTTTTAGAACTACTTTCTATTCCATTTCACGGTTCAAGGAACATGTGCTGTGGAACAATGTGTAGTCATTGTCCGACTACAGGACGTCTCTCGTTCTGTACATTTAGGTATCAGACACAACACTTATGAAAAACATTTATACAATACCAATAAGCATTAAAGACAAAAACTCAGGCAGCCTGAAAAATCATGATTTAATAACTCTGCACATTATTTTCAGTCTTTTTCTTTAGGCCTGTAGTTTTAGAAAGTTTCCAATCATCTCTCACTTTAACTAGCCTGTACCTTAATGTTATTTTTTAAGAGTGCAAATACACCCAATTCCCATGGCTTCACAGTTTTCCAAACACCTTCTGAGGACCAGATTTCTATACGTGACCAAATTTAGAGATCAGATTTTCCTCTCTGTTGTTTTGGGGGCCTCTGTAACTGCTTTTTACTGCTCAACTCCATACTGGGGGCTCCCCAAAATTATGGCCAATTTAGACTGCAGTATTAATGAGGTCGAGTAGCAGCATAAAATGAGACAATATGCATGTAAATATCACACCTGCCCACCAGGGGTCACTTGTGCACCAAAAATGCTGCTCCAGGTCCCTGTGATATGGGGCAGACCTACAGGATGGGGAAGGGGGTAGAATTAGGATGATCAGACAGTGAGGGTGGGAGGGAGGAGCAAGAGATTGAGCTGTGGGTGTGCCACAGAAAATGGGGATGTCAGAGGAACATTTCTCCTTCTTTCCTTATCCCCCATAAACTTAAAGAAGGTCCCTACCTCATTTAGACAACTGTCATGGCTTCTCACTGCAAAGCATCCTGGGAACTGTAGTTCTATGAGATGGATAAGGGAATACCTCAGAGTACCAACTCAAAATGTATGGTCCACCACAGTGATAGACCTGATGAGTCATCTATCCCACAAAGCAGACAAATAATACCATGTGATTTTGGTGTGGTCTGCTTGCTCTTAAGAGGATTCCTGGCTGGCTTCCCTGTAGTTCCCTCAGGCCCTGTGAGGCAGAGATGTCCTGGGCTTTTGGTTGAGGACAACAACGTTTCCATCATGGCTGGCACCCTCTTATTCTTTTCCTCCATCTTAGCACTTCGGCTCCTCCTCGCCCTGCTCATGAGATGGCGACTAGGGTACCCAAGTCCGTTTTTCACCGCAGCGGGGGACTCCCGGTTGGCAGCTGGAGTGCGTGCGTGCCGCATCCATGTCACTCAGAAGTGACGCGACCACACCAGGAACGCTGGGGGTGGGGCCATGACCATCCAAGGGAAAACCATAGAGTTTTCCCTCGGATGACCGTGGCCCTACCTCATTTAGACAACTGTCATGGCTTCTCACTGCAAAGCATCCTGGGAACTGTAGTTCTATGAGATGGATAAGGGAATACCTCAGAGTACCAACTCAAAATGTATGGTCCACCACCTTGTCTTCCTAACGCAACTGACAGCCGCCCAAGTGGTGGCAGCCCCTGCGATGACAACTGTACCTCTGCTCTTCCCTGAAGCCATAGCTGAGGCAACTGGAATGGCAGTTGGAATCCCATTTCACCTTCAAGCCCATTCCTTCCACCGGCAGAAGAATAAGCGGAGGTGGTTTTTAGACCCCACTTTTCTCTCCCTTGAGGAGTCTCAAAGTGGCTTACCGTCTCCTTCCCTTCCTCTCCCCACAACAGGCACCTTGTGAGGCAGGTGGGGCTGAGAAAGTCCTGAGAGAACTGGGACTGACCCAGCAGGCTTCCTGTGGAGCAGGACAAGGGAGTCAAACCTGGTTCTCCAGACTACACTGCTCTTAACCACTACACCACACTGGCTCTCACCATGCTGTCCATCCAGTGAGAGGGTGGCACAACAGGGGAATTTCAGCTCTTGCTGGGAATTGGCTATGCTTGTTTTACATCACGATATTTTGTTGACAACCACCAGGTAGGCCGTGCAAACAAAAGAATAATCTGGCCGAAAATTGGAAATGCTACTTAGCCCCATGATGTTTTCTCACGTGCAACGTGATCCCTGATTGCCTGGAATCACATTGTGAGGAAGCAGAACCCTTGATAGGGAGCAAAAAATGGCTGTGGAGCATTTGCACGGCGGGCCGACAGGTACAGAAAAGTCATCTGGGGGCGTCGTCTTTGGATGAAAAATTTGGGCCCCTTTCAAAAGCTGACTTTTAGAGGTGAAGCTATTCACACGAGGACACCCAGCTGAATTATAAAGGATCCCTGATTGGCCAGCACAACAAAGTGTGTGATGCGGCCACCTCAGTCTGGTTCATGGAGGTGCAGTGTTGCACCTGTATGAACTGGACTGACATAGCTGCGTCACACACTTGCGTGTGTTGGTCAATCAGGGATCCTTCTCACAACCAATCAGGGATTCTCTCAGAGCCACCAGCCAGTTTGACAACTGCCTGTGCTATTCAATAGGGGTAAACCCCCCCTATTTATTTTTTCTGGCCTGTTTTACAGACCTCAAACAGAAGACCTTGGTTTTCCCAGAAGCGTCCAACACGGCTCATGTGGTTTTGAGGCCTGCGCGCCAGCAACCTTTGACCAGCTTCACTGTCTGCCTGAGATCCTACACAGACCTGAGCCGTGCCCACAGCCTTTTCTCGTACGCCACCAGGACGGTCGACAACGAGTTGCTGGTCTTCAAACCCAAACCCAACCAATACAGTTTGTATGTGGGGGGGTCAGTTGTGACCTTCAGCGTTGCAGACAATCCGGTCCCCAAACCGCTGTGGGAGCACATTTGTGTGAGCTGGGAGTCCGTCACAGGAATAGCAGAGCTTTGGCTGAACGGGGTTAGCTTGCCCCGCAAGGGAATGAAGAGAGGTTACACCATCGGTCCGGAAGCTTCTATCGTCCTTGGGCAGGAGCAGGATTCCTTTGGAGGAGGCTTCGACACCAACCAGTCCTTCATAGGGGAGCTCATGGATGTGTCTATGTGGGATCGGGTGCTTTCCTCAGATGAGCTGGTCGTCATTCAGAACAGCGGCCGCCTTTCCAACTATTTGATTGACTGGCAGTCCCTAAATTACGAAATCAAAGGCTATGTGGTGGTGAAGCCCTCCTGGGGGTGAAGCCCTCCTTTGTAAGCCCCCCTGTAGGCTTCGCAAAACAAAGCAGAGAGCTGGAAACAAATCGATAGTCTTCCCCATAATTAATGTTTCTGTTAGTAGTAAGGCAGCATTCCTACAAACGATTTCCTGGACGTAAACTCCTTGGAGTAGCATGGGACTTCCTTCTGAAAAAGACCTGCAGAGACTTGTTCTCGTAGTCCTCAATCTGTTTGTGCAAACGCATTCATGAAGCTTGTAGATCTGTATTCTCCAATGAAAGATTTCAACCCCCCCCCCCCAAGTATTTTGCATTCCCTGACACCTCTGAGAGTCCAGGCAGGAGGGACACAGACCTCTTGGAGTAGGTTGGTGAGGGTGAAGCATAATATTTCACAAGCTTGATTAATCTGTATTTTCCCCATACCCCTTTTTTCCTTCTGTATCCCACCCTTTTAAAGAGAAAATAATTAAATATTCAATTAAAAATAGATTAAAAACTCAAACGTAAAATTACCAAGAGCAGTTCTTGAAAGAGCTCTCTCAGACAGGTACAATGCCATAGATTCCACCCTCCAAACCAGCCATTCCCTCCTGGGGAACCATTGTTGCCAGTCTCCAGGTGGGAGCTGAAGATTACTCAGAATTACAACTGCTCTCCAGGAGAGAGGGGGGAGGAAATGGAAAGCTGAAGTCAGAGGGGCAGATAAATGTACGTTGATGGTTGGATGGGAAAGAGATAGGGTTGCCAACTCCAGGTTGGGAAATTCCTGGAGATTTGAGGGGTGGAGCCTGGAGAGGATGGGGTTTGAGGAGGGGTGGGACCTCAGACTGGTAGATTGCCATAAACTCCACCCTCAAAACCAGCCATTTCCTCCTTGGTAACAATAGTTGTCAATCTCCAGGTGAGGGCTGGAGATCACTCCAAATTACAACTGCTCTTCAGGTAGCAGAGATCAGTTCCTCTGCTGAGGTCACCACACCAAAATGACACTGAATGCCCAAGGCCGGGGCACTCTCCCAGAGCCTCTTTCTAGAGGCCATTGTATTTATTTCCACAATGGGCCTTATTCCTAGTTCATAATATTTGTGTATCAAGGGAAGACTTTGTCTTAGCTCTTATCCAGCTAAGGAAAACATCTTACACAAGTGAAAGGGCTGGATTCTAGTGGTCTCGACCAATCATGCTTGCTTGCACACTAGCATCCCCCTCCCCCTCTCCCTCTCCCTCTCCCTCTCCCTCTCCCTCTCTCCCTTATCCTCATAACAACCCTGTAGGTTTAACCATTTGCTCAGCTCTCTAAAACTTCCCTGTCCCCACTGGGTGGATATGGAGGGGAAGGGCCATGGGTTGATGGCATGACACTCTAAGAATCCCCCGCCTCCAAAAACTCTATGGTAAAAAAAACCATAGAGTTTGGGGGAGTTCCAAGAGCAGGGGTCCCCAACGTCTTTGAGCCTGCAGGCACTTTTGAAATTCTGACATAGCATAGTGGGCACAACTACAAAATGGCTGCCACAAAATGGCTGCTGCGTGAGGTGGAGCCAGCCACAAAGGGACTCCTGCAGCTTCCTATCAGTCACACCATGAAGATCCTTGTGCTGCCATGGCAGATTTAATCAAAACAACATTTAGGGTTGCCAGGGCCCTCCAGCAGGGGAAGAGGGGGGTCATAGGGTTGCCAGATTTCGGTTGAGAAATTCCTGGAGATTTGGGGATGGAGCCTGAGAAGGACAGGAACCTCAGTGGGATACAAGGTCATAGAGTCCACCCTCCAAAGCATCAGTTTTCTCCAGGGGCAACTAATCTCTGTAGTCTGGACTCCCTTTAAGCTGTGGAGTCTTGTGAGCAAAAATTCTACTTTGTGAGCTACTGGCATTAAAGTTGTGAGCAGGTAATTTGGCTACAGCATAAATCGGTTTGCTCTGGAGCCAGCCTTCCTGAGCTAAGACAAAAATGAGTGAGCCAGAGGCTGAAAAACTGTGAGCTAGCTCACACTAACTCAGAGGGAACACTGGTCTGGAGATGAGGTGTAATTCCAGGAGATCCCCAGGGCCCACCTGGAAGTTGGCATTTCTGTGGGCAATCTTACTTAGACTTCAAGACCTCAGTACCTGCCCTGCTTTCCAAACATACCAGTCAACTCTACCCCCTAGGAAGAACAAGAAGAAGAAGAAAAAGAAGAAGAAGAAGAAGAAGAAAAAGAAGAGATTGGATTTATACCCCGCACTTCACTACCCAAAGGAGTCTCAGAGCGGCTTACAAACCCCTTTCCCTTCCCCTCCCCACAGCAGACACCCTGTGAGGTAGGTGGGGCTGAGAGAGCTCTTGACAGAAACTGCTCTTTTTCAAGAACAGCTGTGCCAGAACTATGGCTTGCCCAAGATCACCCAGCAGCTGCATGTGGAGGAGTGGGGAATCAAACCCGGTTCTCCCAGATTGGAGCTCGAGCACTTAACCACTACACCAAACTGGCTAAATACTTGGGAAACTTAGGATACAGCTAACATTCATTCCTAACACCCATCACTCACCCATCCAGCCCCCTCTTTCTTATCTTAGAGGCCTGCGTTTTAAAGCACTGCAAATACACACACAAAACTGCACATTCATTCTCAGGAATAAAACACACCCCAAATATTTGCATAACAAAACATGAGAGGATCGTGTTCCTCTTTTATTGATGTGGATGGCTTTAAACTGGAATGGGGAAATGTATCTTGGGGGAATGTTTTATTTTATCACAAGTCTTTGCTCTTTGCATATCTGATTATAAAGAATGTTTATTGTGGCCCACAGCCTAGAAAACCAAACAAAATTAATTTTTGTTTCCTCATTTAGGCTTGAAATTTAACCCCAGCCCCACGGGAAAACATTAATACCCCTCCCTCCAGGAGTTCTGAATCAGACCGGATCAGAAGCTTCTAATGATTTATCAAGATTTTAAAAGGCAACAATGTCCAAGAGGAAAAGATTTTTTTTCTTTAAAAAGGGCGGGTTTTTTTTTTTTTACATTGAAATCAATACTTTCAATGACGGATGGCAAAGAAAGGGCCATTTGATCAGATGGGCCACTGTTAAATCAGGAAAGAAGACCGTTGCGACATTTATGAATCGACTGGTTTAAATAAAAAGTACTAAGAGTACAGACGGAAATATTTCTACACACATCCATCAGGAAACATCCATTAAATCCAAAAGGGTACCCAGCTAGAGACAAATCCTGGTGTGGATTTTGACTCATTTGGCTGAGGATTTAACAATGGTTAGAGCTGTTTTCATGGTCTCTGGACTACTGCTTTAAGAATTTAAAAGGTTTAAAATGAAGTCACTCTAGCACATTTGTATTTCCTTCCAAGCAGCTCTGAGAAGTGGTACAGGCAGGTCTATTTTTGGGCAGGAAGGTGAGTTCCGGCTCGCTCCCAAGTTGGCCACGCCCAGCAGGAGCTCATTAGCATAATAGGCCACACCCAACAGCAGAAACTCATTAGGACTGGCTACATTAGGGGTGTGTGGCCTAACATGCAAAGGAGTTCCTGCTACAAAAAAAGGCCCTGGGTTTTGACAACAAACAAGGTAAACAGAATAACAAGCAAAAGGTGGGTGTGGCTGGATAACCACACTTCTGGTAACATGGGGGTGCAGCCTAATGTGGTAATGAGCTGTGCTGTCAGGGGTGTGGCCCAATAGGCTAATGAGTTCCTGCTGTTGGGTGTGGCCTATTATGCTAATGAGTTCCTGTTGGGCTTTTTCTACAAAAAGAGCCCTGGACAGGGTTTTCCTTTCTCATTTTATTCTCACAACAAGCCTGTCAGGTAGGTACCTCAGATAGGTACAATGCCATAGACTCCACCCTCCAAACTAGCCATTTCTTCCTGGGGGACCATTGTTGCCAATCTCCAGGTGAGGGCTGGCAATCACTCAGAATTACAACTGCTCTTCAGATGGCAGAGATCTGTTCCCCTGGAGAAAAAGGTGGACTCTGTGTCATTATACCCTGCTGAGGTCACCACAGCAAATTGACATTGAGTGTTCAAGGCCGGGGCACCCGCCCAGAGCCTCTTTCTAGAGCTTGTTATATTTATTTCCACAATGGGCCTTATTCCTAGTAATAAATAAATAATAATAACCTGGATCTGGCAGCTCTACTGGTTATCGACTTTGTAATGGCCAGACTTATTCATTTGCCCCTGCAGTGAAGCGATGCCTCAATCTACAGGTCACATGTGTTCAAATTACCACTTTGGGAAAGGCATATTTAACTTGAATTCTGCTAATGGTCAACTGTTAACTTCCCAGGCAGACAAAAGGCTCCTCTTAGAGATTTTCTAGCTAGCTTTCAGTCTGCCTGAGGGAAGTAGCTAATGGAACAAAACAGTTATTTTTCCCTCCAGTCACATAAGGACTGGTGGGAATAAACGGTAGAAATCTCCTAAAGGGAAGAAACTAGTAATTTCCCCTCATATCTGATCAAGCAGAAGGAAGGGAACTCTGTTTGGGGAGTATACACTTGCCTGGGAATGGCAGACAGTTCCAGGAAAGCCCCCTCAGAGACTTGGGAAGGCCGTCCTTGGTGGTTCTCCATTAGCAGAGTCCACAACATGGCTGGAAGAAGAAGCGTAACTTCGGAAAAGTGACGGACTGAACAATTTCATATTATCCTGTCTACCTCTTCATTCATTATCACAATTTAAGACATAGGCAGAGAGGCTTAAGTCTATCATTTTATTTTTCCTTGGCATATCTCGGAAGCTAAGCAGGATCGGCCACGGTCAGTACGTGGATGGAAGACCACCAAGGAAGCCCAGGGTCACTCCAGAATGGCAAGCAGTGGCAAAACACCTCTGCTCCTCTCTTGGCTTGAATACCCTCTGGGGTCACCCTAGGTTGGCTGTGACTTAATGGCACTTTGCACTGCCACTGTAGTCTTTGCTCAGTGTGATATGCTTTTTCTGTTTGAAACCAAACACCCAAACTACAAATAGGGGAGCCTTTCCTATATATTTTTTTTTCATTTGATGAATTATGTTAATTCTACAAGCACATGGAAAGCCTGCCACTGTTCCACGCTACCCCAGGGACCAAGGATCTGGCCAAGAAATGGCTGTGGTTCAGGGATGCCAACCTCCAAGTGGTGGCTGGAGATCTCCCACCATTACAACTGATCTCCAGGTGATGAGAGATCAGTTCACTGGGAGAAAATAGCCACTTTGGAAGTTAGACTCTATCAGGGCTCTTTTTGTAGAAAAAGCCCAGCAGGAACTCATTAGCATAATAGGCCACACCCAGCCGCAGAAACTCAGTAGCATATTGGGCCACACCCCT